CATGCACCCACAATGTTCCAGCCGTTCCTACGCCCATGACGCTTCTTACCGCTGATTATAATTGATTCGTGTCAAATTTTGTGTGAAGGCTTAAAAATGTACAGGCAATCTAATGTTCAAACAAATTCGAAAAGCAACTGGTAAAATTAAATTATTAGGGTGCAAACACAATATGTGACTATGACGTTTCCCGCGTCGGCCGATCCCCGCCTCTGCCGGCGACATCTTACTCTTAGCAAGCCACTAACTGCCAAATTTATGGTAAGATTAACTAGAGATTCTCATAACACTACAAATGTCGTATAAAGGAAGAAATAGGAAAATCGGCCAGTATCTCTTAGAGCTATGGGCGTATAAACGCAAAATAGTCCCTATAGCCAATTTGATCACGTTTAACCTCATTTGATCTTGAATATATTGATCTAGGGTCATGAAATTAGCATACGATAAAGTTCCCCACCGCCCCACCTACAATTCAAATTCCGTTTTTAATACCTTTTTTGGCTAAACCGGGCTTTTCTCCCCTAACGCTAGGAGAGTCAGGCGTATTTTCTTTTTGCAACCAAAGAGAGGCGCTGCCCGGAGAATGCCCAATTTCATCATTAAAAAAAAACTGGCTTACGATGACCAGCTATCTCCGTGGCTTAGTAGTAAGTGTGCCGAGTGCACCCATCTCGAAATCTAAAGGTCGCTGGCTCGCAGCGGGTCAGCCTGAAGTGTTTAACACGCATTTGTTTTTTAAGTAGCATCTGGCCAGCCGGCAACTGTCGTGAGGGCCAATGCTAATGTTCGTATCTCGGTAGCATTTGGCCAGTCGGCAACTGCCGTGAGGGCTGTACATATTTACGCGTGTTAGATTAGGTCAGGTCACGTCAGGTCAGGTTGGGTTTGCTTTGGTTTGGGGTAGAAAGAAGCATCTCCGGGTAGCGCCTCTCCTTGGTTGCTAAAACGAAACACGCGAGTGCCAGACATTCCGAAGTCCAAAAGACAGTTACGTAGACGTCGGCCCATTCTGGATTTTTTTATATGATGTAGCTAATTTATAGGAGAATAAAACATGTCAAAATCAGCAAAATCGAAGGGTACCCATTTTTCAGAAAATCAAAATTTATTTTTTGCATTTTAATTAAGTTCACTAATTAGTTAATTACGTCAAAATTGTTATCCTCAAATTAAAGCCTGACCTATTCCCTCCATTTCACACTTTGTCTCGTGGTGATATGTCTAAAGCTTCAATGGTTATGACGCGTTAAAGATGATAATGCGCCTTGCCTAAGTCAATGTTTGATGACGTGTATCTCGGAAACGTGACGTCATATCTTGACAAAAATATGTATCCATTCTTTTCACATATAGATGAGTAGTTTCACAAAGTTTCGCAAAAATCTGAGGAGGTGAGGTTCAAAATGATCATTTTCTGTCCCACTTGACGTGGAATGCCCCAATAGTCACATTCATAAGTAATACAATCGGACATAGGTTAAGAAAGAGTACTCTCTAATCACCAATTGTAAGTACGCCCATAAACCGCGTGGAATAACCGACTTATCCTTCACACACGTTCTATCCCAATTTCATCTGGATACCATGCCACTAGCCGCCTTTTTCGCGCAGAGCTCAAGATTAGTGACTTTCTCTCAGTCAGCGGTTACTGCAGAATTAACCCATTTCCATACACTCTCTGTCCACCCAGAGATCCTGAATATGCGTGCGATCCATTCGCAACGCGCACCAACCGGCCTGTCGGGCGCGCACAATGACAAAAACGCGAACACCAGTCCGCTATACACGGTCCTCATGCAATCCCATTCTCCAATCCGGATAATACCTGCATGGTGCATAGAATTCTCACGGTCGCCGATCGTCCGACGAATGCGCAAGTACGTTCGCTGGTCCGTCGCCGATTTTTCGCACGAGTCTCTCGGCGGGGTATTGCGGCGTCCAATGAACGGCGCAGAGCGGAGAACAGGACTGGTCTGGCGTTAATCCCTCTGCCAGCGCCGCGCTGCACGCCACAGCGACACAGACAGGCCGCCTGCACGTGAATGCGTGACAACATTTCAATCGGGCTGGCTGTCTGTTCTCAAGCGGCCGTCGTAAGTCACAGCGAGCCACCCTCGAGCGAACGAGCGAGCCAAAGGCAGCGTGCAACAGATCAGAGGCGGGCTAGAGATCATAGGCGAACTAGAGATCATAGGCCGGCAAGCAGCAAGAGACGAGCAAACGCCAGAGGCGGCGAGCAAGAGGGAGGCGAGCGAGCGAGCGGCCAGAAACGGCGAGCAGATTAGGGGTGGCGAGGGAGCAATCAGAGGGTGAATACTTGAATAGGGAGCGATCAGAGGTGGTGAGCAACAGACCACTGCACAGGCGAGCGAGCCGTCAAAGATAAGAACGTGGCGAGCGAGGATAAGGAGTTGTGAGGGAGAGAGAAGAGGGCGGCTAGGGAGGCGAAAGGTAACAAAGGGAGGCGGCGAGCCATCCTCGGGCGAGAGGGTGACTAGAGGCGGCTAACAAGAAATCAGAGGCGAGCAAACGGAGGCGAGCTAGAGATCAGGGGTGGCGAGCCGCCCTCGAACGGAAGTGGAAACCGGGGACACCGGACAACCCCGCGGGAGATCAGGGGTAGCGATGACAATGAGCGAATGGGGTGGCGATAGAGCAACTGTGAAAGGCGTAGAGCTGACGAGAGCGACCACGGGCGGTCTCTCCGGGCAGGGCGGATGAGAGACGGATACATGCAGCGGTACGTCAGCGCGATGTTTGAACGTCACGGGACAGCGTCACGGCGTGATCCGCTTTGCAGCCGCGTCACGGTCGGGCGTTACCGGCTGTGCGTCACGGCGGGATTTGAGGCGCGGAGTGTCATCGGAAACGTTGCCACTCCCGCGTGAACATGACACATGACCCGCAGGACACCCACGACACGGAACACGGCAAAGCCGACACCCGGGAGGTCGGCGTGTGAACGAGAAGTGTCCGGTCACTGACAGATCGAAGAGGACCTGTCGGCTCAGGGGTGGGCGCACAGGACACCTGACCCCGCCGTCTCCCGCTCCCCGGCTAATCCACCGTCGCGGGGACAGGATCGTCTCCCACGGGTCTCCAGCTCCGCGGACCGCCGCCGGTCGGATTCGAATCGGTCGGGATCCCCGCCGAGGACCAGCTGTCGAACAAGTGCGGCGGGGGAAGGAAGCGGGCGCGGCGGAGAAGGCGAGCCGCCCGCCGCACTGCGGAGAGATTCCCACGGTCCCAGTCGGCCTGGTTCGTGTGACTCAGGGAATTGTGCACACGTGTGTGGGAGACCGGGGCCAGAGCAGCACCAGCTGAGAAAACACGTGACCCGCCAGAGAAAACACGTGACCGGCGACAAAGGTGACAAGGCGGAGACAAAGGCGCGCTCGGAGCGGCTGGGAATTGGTCAGAGCCGGAAAATGGCTGATGGACCGCGAGACGGCTCCGTCTGAGGGGACTCGTATACAGCAGGTTGAGTGGAAAGGTCTTGAAAACGGAGATGTGTTCCACGAAATTCCATATGAAAAATGTAATAAAGGATTTGCAACGAACTCGCCAGCACACTTCTCACAGAAACAAGTTAAAAGAAAAACTATAAAAAAAATAATGTCCCAGAGAACTCGGATATCTAGGTGACACGGAGACTGAATCAAATGAGCCAGTGTTCTCGACGAACCTAATCCACGAGCACTCCGCTGCAGGCAGGCAGTCCCTCATGCAATGCTATTAGACGTGATCATCTAAACAGAGTCCTGACAAGCGGCGATGGAGTGGAACAAACAAAACTGACATGATCACTTCGCTCATATTCTGAGCATGACAAAGCATTGCATTATGGCCTGTTTAGACGACTTACTGATCCATGAGGATTTGGAGGCTATAGATTTCGGCTATCCCTCGGTGCATTGCCGGTCAAAGTGGCAGTCTCACGAAATGCGCGTTTCCGGAAGTGACAAATAATCGATGAAAACAAGTTTTGGGTCACTTACTAAGCTGTTGGTATGCCGCTAGCAACTCGACATAAGCAGAATCACTAGCTAAATAAAACACACTGCAGTAAACAAAGTAAGTAGTTCGTTCCCTGAGCTCAGAATCATGTGCTTTTCGAACAGCTTGGCAGCTTTCGGCTGGGATTATCACCCAAACCCTGCATTTACCATCATAAGCCCACGAATCACAAGGCGTATACCGCCGGTCATTAGCATATCTAAGCACCCCGATCAACGATATGATGGCTATGTAAGCAGTTACAGTGCCAAATACAGGGCGGCAACAGCTAAAGCGCCACATCAAAAGCCGTCCCGACGACCCGCGCCTTTCCGTCACCACGGGGATCGGACGGCAAGACGTGGTGGATGTCGGCGCCACAGACAAGCGTCACGTCACGTCACGTCACGTCACCGCCGCATCACCCGCGGAAAATGGAAGCAGCCAGTGGTCAGGCGGATGGATCAGTCGGCAAAACTGAGAGGACGGCACGGTTTGATGAGTGGAGCGCGTCAACTCAAAGATGTCTTCACTTCAGTGCCATGTCTGATAGATAAGTCGCATAGTTAGTTGTCAACAACCAAAGGCTAAGGGAGAATGAAAAGTGCACAAAAAAGTGACCACCTTCCTTCATTAAAGCATGAAGTGAAAACCCCGAAAGATTCTTACTGAGCGAACTTTTCGTCCAAATTCTGCGGTGCTGCCGTCGCTTCACATTTCGGGTAATTCGTTTTGAATAGAGTCTTTTACCTTAGAACTGACACAAAGAGGCGATAAACAGGGCATTGCGATAAAATTCAGCAAAGTGCATAAGTTGTTAAGAGGTTTCATCTCAAAATATCGATATTCCTAGTCTGAGTCGGCGATTCGGTAGGACCACAGAAGCACAATTCGTTATTTTCACCCCTCACATTCAGCCAAGAAGCCAGATAGTCACGTTGCTTACAAATCGGTAGCCAGGCATGCACACAAAACCAGCTTCATGACACCCATCCACTCACCTTTTTGTACTCGTGCGTGCGCGAAGGAGGCACGTAGCCGCCCGGGCCGCACTTGGAGGAGTTGGGACTCAGCGGATCCATGTCCATGGCAATAGCGACGTCTTCCACACCTCGTGCTGCACTGCTCACGTGGCACCGAGGGAGACACTGGAGCTGCGCCGACCTCCCCGCCCAGCCGCGCTCTTTGTTTTGATCGTTTGATCTATTTCGCGGGTTACCGCGGCGGCGCGGCCACAGGTGAATTTGGTAGCCGCCCCGGCGTAAGCTCCGCCCCCGACAGCGTGCGTCCCAGGCGGCGGCACGGTGCACTGGAGCAGGCCTCTGATTGGCTGGCTCCGGCCGGCCGGCACCCGCGCCGAACACCAACCCTGGCGGGAAACACTGGCCAAAAAGAGAAAAAACGACACCGGAGACGGTTCCGCGTCCAGTTTGGGTCGCCGGGGTGGTGCTCGGGTGCACGGCGCTGGCGCAGCAGGCGTTTTCCCACGCCGCCTGGCTGTGGGGCTCGCGTGAACGGCCGCCGGCGCTGGAATCCTGGGAGATGGCCGGCCGTGAGAACTGCCACATTCCCACACTCGTCGGCCACCTGTCGGCCGACGGCGCCAGATGAAACGGCCCGGGTCAAGTGGCGGCGGCGCGGGGGCAGGGCGGCAGCCACCGGCGGCGCGCCGGCGCCCGTTCTCAGGCCGGCCAGGTTACGCCGCCCCCTAATGAGCGGTCATCGCCGTGATAAATTGGACAGCGCCGCGCCGCTGCCGGCGTTCACAGGGAGGCTGCGCGCCGCGTCTGACCCGGCCGGGCCCGCGGCGGTCAGAGGTGACGGTCCCCACTCCCCAGTCGACCGCTGTAACCTGCCCCTCCCCTGCCACCCCCTCTTCCTCCTCCCGTCCTCACAGACCACCCATGAGACGTCATCGGCCGATCCAAAATGGCGTCGGCTCGAATGACGAGCAGCGCTGCGCCGAGATCGTCGCGATCTGCGGTCCGATCACGCCACGACTGTCTCACGCCTGCCATCTCGTAAATCTGCGCCGGCAGCGCGGGCCACTTTCCGCGCAGGAAGGACCGCCGCCGGTCGGGACGGAAGCGGATTTTTGAGCGCCGCGAACGTGACATGCGGCCGTGGTAATCCTCCTCCTGGCCGGTCCCACTCTCAGCATTGTTCGGCCATTTTTCGGCGGCCTTCTTTCGCCGGTGTGTGATCGTGAACAAAGAGAGCGTCCGTCCCACGATCGGCAGGTCGGCGCCGCCTCGTGCGACCTGCCAGTCCGGTCCGGGCCGCCGGCTGACCTGTTACCGATCGGCGTGACCCACTCTGACCCGCCTGACCCGCCGTAACGCTTCCTCGTACCCGGGTCCGCGCCGCTCCAGTCCCGCTGACCTCCCCGACCCGGCTGCCGAGTAGCGGCTATCACTGACTAATTCCCACCTGCGGGGGAGGGGAGATAAATAGAATCGGACACCTGCAGTTTCCGGTCCTCTCCCCCTCGACTCGGCGGGATGGGCCCCGGGCCCCCGGTGTCAAACGGCGTGTAATAGCAGGCGGCAGCCGGGGCATTATGCTAATCATTACAGGTGTCCCGCCGCGTAATTACCTGACGGTTTATGGCGATGTTGCGAGCATCAGACAGGTGTGCTTTATCAGCCATTCGGAAGCATAAACCGCATTTTATTCCGAGAACTTACACGTTTTTTCGCCCCCTGTCTTGATTTAGTGCCCCTAAAAACATAAATACGTGTTTGTTGCGTTTGCTGAAAACCGAAGAAGAGCCATATTTCCACAGCATTTCAATGCATCCTAAATGTGCGCATTTCTTCAATCAAGCATTGTTTTATATATTTTGTATAATAGTAGCCAAGTGACAAGTCTACTGCGGTGCTGCGTGACTCGAACATCGTACCATTTATAATAGTCACATGTGAATAGGCAGGACAAATAGTCCCACAGCTCGTATCACGCTAATCCTAATCAACCTCATTCTGCCATGCAAACCTGTGGAAGAAACCGACCTCCCAATAACACAAGCCCGAGCATGGGAACCCACTGCAACAATGGGAGCTCCGCGGCGCCACAGCCGCTAACCCACGCGTTACCACCGCAGTAAGCGTGTGCTCGGCGACAAAAACCACCTGTCTGAGCATTATCGGTCCATTTTCCCGGTCACCTTCAGCGGCACAACGTGAGAGCGTGCCACGGGGCCTGGGACAACGGCATTTTTCAGCCCCAATCAGCCCGGTGACGAAGAGGAAATCGGCAACATATGGGCAGTTTTCGCTGGGCGTTCGTCTTTTCCGGGCCAACGCACGCACGCGAATGCCCTCACGCATCGCGCAGGTCGAAACTGCTTGTCTGATGATTGTATCGGTACAGGCAATCGATTAATTTGTGGAATGCTCGCGTGCGATGAGGAAGAGGTAAAGGGGGAGATATGATTGGTTGAGATAGTGTGCACGTGTTTCCAGTTGAGAGTGATGGCTGAGTTGGAAAGTGGGCTAAGACGATCTCCGGATCTGACATTTTATATCTAGGCATATGCATGGGTGCCGTTTTATGCAAGTGGTATAGGACTGATATAGGTCCTAAGTCCTTACCAATAACTTCAGCATTTCAGCATTAGTGCTCTGGCGTTGCATTGAACAAATTGCTTTGATATTCTGAAATTAACCATTACAGCCATACCAATTAAGTTCGGAAAGCGATACCTGTGTCCATATACCCACTTGGTACTCTATATACTTCTTCCAGCTTTGAACTGTTACGCAAATAAATCAGCTATAGATGGATTTATACAATAATATTAGATTGACTGAATGACACGGATGGTTTTGGTAGCATAAAAACTGACCATTGACCGCCGCCAAACGGAATGTTTTGACCTATCGTATAGGTTGTACATATACATCTAACTGACCTCTGTGATTGTCATGTTTCCAAATATTACACAGAAGAAATCGACGTCATTTTAAAGGTAGTGTGCCAGCTTTCCTGGACCGTATGGAGTTAATGGCCCAGATAAGGAGAACCGGATTTTTAGAACTTATCCATACCTTCAAAACTCATGGAAACGTCTTAAATTCTTCAAATTTTGAGTACCCCAGTGCGAAATTCGCCCCGACGGGTTGTCGGTCGTACCCCAACCACATTTCACACCACTATGAACAATAAACGCACACACTGAAATCGCTATTACCGATATGCTCATCCAATCAAGTTTCGATAAACCCGTTCATCATCATCTCCTGCGGTTTCGAACACGCCTGTTAGGTGGTGCGGTAGACCGCGCCCAAAGCCAGGGCCCCGGTAACGTGAGGTAGCCGAGTCGGGGCAGCGTGCGCTGACCCAAGCCGGGGCCGCGCGTCCTCCCGGTGTCATGTGATAGCCCGGGGCTGCCCGGGGATGCGGTAGACCGCACCCAAAGCTGCGGCCCCGGCTTGGGTCAGCGCACGCTGCCCCGACTCGGCTACCTCACGTTACCGGGGCCCTGGCTTTGGGCGCGGCTTCTGCTCATACTTTGTGGTGCGGTGGAAGTGCGTCGGGCCGCGCGCTCTGACTTCGGCCAAGAAAAATGCGTCAGCTGATCATTGTCATTTCTGCCACTTGCGTGTGGTGAAATGGGGTCATAACTTAAGAGACGGCTTTTTCATATCAATTATTTTACATAAAATCATATTTCAAACCATAAATAATGTTCGACAGCCAAATAAAAGAAACAATACCAATACAGGCTTACAGTTTAAGGCTCGACATTGTGTTGTCTACGATTAGACAGCTGATAACTCATTCCCGTACGTCGTAACTCTATAATGACCTTTGCTTATTGTCACATGTGCGCCGCATTCGCGATTGTTGCCGACGCCTGTTTGCAGGTCAGCCCACTACAGTTGTTATACATATCGAAAAACCGATTAACTTTTAGGCGAAAAAGGCACTATTCCAGGCCCATTTTTTATTTTTTTGCGATATTAGGTAAAAACAGAAGCTTCTTTTCCTAGGAAAAATAAAATGGGAAATCTTTCAAAGGTGGCACACTACCTTTAAAATCACGCAGACTTATCTGTCAAATTCAAAAACAGCTATTTGCGTCTAACCGCCCAGCACCGGACCGAGGGCTGTCTTCTGGCGTGTCCACCAGCCCTTCAGAAACATCCTTTCTCCTCTTCTCCCCTCCCTCATGACCCCGATCCCTCTGCCTCTGAGATCGGCCCCGTGGCGTCCCGTCCCCGTCCCCTGCCGATTTGGGGCAGTCGGTGGCCGCCGGCGGTGTCGGACGGCGCCGGCCGGTGGGGTGGACGGGGGACGGACGGTCCCGTGGACGCCGGCGTGCATTCCGCCACCGGTCCGAGCGTGGGAACGTGCCGTGCGGCCAGGTACCCCACAGGTGCCGCGGCCGCCCCTCCGCCGGCCGGCGCACATCCGTCCCGCCGGCCCATTCATTCGCCGGACGCGCGCAGCGGCGGCGCCAGGAGACGGATTTCGGCGGAAAGATCAAGGACGCCGACGCGGAAAGAAGAACGAATCGGGGATAACGCTTATGATAGCCCCGCGCCAGAAAGCCGGCTTAGTATCCATCATCTTTTGAATGGTGTCGGACCCATCGTTACCGCTGTGACCGCCGCCCCTGCTGCCACCCACCCTTCCTTCAAATATTGTCCGAGGACAACCGAAATCAGGCCCGTGAAATCAGGCCCGTCTCCGGTGCCGGCGGCGACCAGCCAATTACGGCACGCGGGCCACTTTGAAATTTGAATAGTGCGCCAGGAAGTCTCCGACCGTTGGCTCGTGGCTCCGTGCCGGGTCACGTGACTCACACTAATAAGCACCGGAAGCCGGAAGGGCTAATGTCTTGCACGGCCGAGTGTGGCGCTTCCTGGCGCAAACAGTGATTACGACAAAACGATTCACGTGGGAGCGACGCTATCGAATCTGGCATCGGCGCCGCCGGCGGGGAGGGGGCCGATGGGAAACCGAAACGGACGGAGGAGCCAGGAGTGCCAAAGTCGCCGGACAAACCGGAAACGGTCGGCGGCGGCTCCCGTGTGAGCCGGCCGGCTGACCGCTGTCGCAGGTATTCATTAGGTGTGTACGCTGGATTTGAATCACACCGCCGGAACTCATTCTACATTGTTTCACACCTTACTTTCCCGGTCCCTGGCTGTTTCATCGGTGTTTCACAACTCATAAGTACCTAACTGGGAATATTTTACGCTTGTTTTGTAAACGAACTGTATTCAGGTTTGCATTCATTTTATTTGGCGTAGAACAAGGACAATGGCAATGTCGATAGATCGCTGATTTTCATTGGCTAAGTCACAGACTTCCCTATATATATTTAGGAAGTGTGCGGCTGAGCTCATGGCAATTACAACGGGACCAAAGATTTGTTAACGATCCTTGTTGAAGTGTATTTTTTTCTTTCAGTACAGCTGATGAAACATCCCAATTCCCAAACAACGCATACACTCTCAGCAATGAAAAGGGAAAACACACCATTTCCGATGAGTTCTCTTTTCTAATGGGAAAACATTTTTAAGATTCGTCCCACAGGTCCAAGTCCTAGATTCGCCAATGACGAGAAGAAGAAATCCAATTAATGGAATGCATGTATATGCAGAAATATAATGCAGATATACCGGCAGATGTGCAAAATAAAAAAGCAATGATACAATCAACAACGGCCAATCATTTGACATTCATAAAGGATGAAGTAGGTATCTTGAATGTTGAATTGAAATAATTGTTGGCATCTTTTGATTTAAAGCGAGCTTCAATTGTAATTTCTGCGGACACTAACGCGCCCTAACTTCAGCAACTGAG